AGATCGCCCACTCACTCACTCCCTTCGAATCCCATTTGCTTTCTCACTCACTCTCACTCACTTTCCCCTCATCCCACCCCCCTACTTCCCTCTTCCATCCTCAATAGTTCACGGTCGCACACAGAAAGCGCCAGATCCCAAACTCCCTTCTTTCCTTTCTTGTCCTAACCATATCAACCATCCGCATAATCACATACCAGTCAACTACATTTACCAGGAAGAAAAAGCAAAAGAACGACGAGAGAAACAGAGAGACAAATAAAGGAAATATAATATATGGTAATTGATTTTAGAATAACTTCAATTGTATATGAATCATCCACTCATTATCCATTCATATACTTCATTCACGAAAAGAAGATTGATACTATTCTAGTATCTTTACTTTCCTCCCATATTCCTCCCTCACCCATCACCCATCACCCATCTCTCAACACTCAACACTCATCACCTATCCACCCCCTCCACCAATTCTCCACCATCCACCTTCCAAGTATGCAACCCCCTAATCTCATCCGCAAACATCCATCCATCCATCATAACCTCATCATCATCATCATCATCATCATCACCAACTTAGCAAAAAGATCAAGACCAAAAATCGCAGAAAAAATTCAGCAGATGAGAAAATCCATTGTTTAATATTTAGCAGGATAGGACATTTAGTAGCCAACTTTAACAAGGTAATCGACCAATTTTTGAACAGTCTCTGCGGTGTTTCCGGCGATCATTGGGTCGACATATCGGGCTACGATGATTGCTTGAATGGTTTTACCGATGACGAGTCCATCTTTGCCCTAAAATTTTGAAGAGTTGAAATTAGTATAGATTCTTTGTATTGATTTGATGATGAAGTATAGGATATGTCGTGTGTGTGGTTGTTGTGGTTGAAAAGTTGTTGCGAGTTTCGAAATGATGATAGACAAGGCTGAGATAATTTCTTAAAGGATAGACATACCTTTCTAGCATAGAGCACCTTATTATCATCCTCCACTTTTGTAAGAACATATCTCTCGCCTGCAATATGTAAACCATTTGCATACAGACTATCTGTAGCACCCTCAAGTCCCTTTTTGACCTCGGCCATTTCTTCAGGGGTGATCTACATGATTTATGTCAGCGCCTGATATCTGAGTGAGATTTTGTATACGTGTGCTCTATCAGCATTTTCTGATCATAAACCCATCTGCCAATATCCAGAGTAGCCTCGCAGATGTAGATATGGAATGGGATTGAAAGCGGAATCGATATGATATCGAGAAAAGGTGAAATCGTACCTGGAATTCAGGACTGGTGGCCCAGCAAGAGGTTCCCTCCAAGTTGTAAATAGCTCCCTTCTCGACATGTCCGCTTCCGCAAAGACTATTATTCCCATCAGTTTCGTATTCGATTTCATCTGTTCTCGTGGTTTGCATGATGGATTTTGTACCTTGTGTCGATATAAGCTATTGGAAGTCATCAGTAAATGCTTCTTTTTCACAGAATTTCACAGAACATAGAGGGGTTCCAAGGAGGGGTAACAGTAACCTCAACTCCACCATTTCAAGAGGAAAAGATCAAACATACCCTGCCACGACATCTTTCAAATAGTAAAGATTGTTGATGAGAAGATTCTTTCTTTTAATTCTGGCGATGATTTGGATGTCACCGGAGATTGATCAAAGTCTTGGGAAGATGAGTTGGTGATAAATTTTGATGGTGGATGGATCCAGTTTATGTTTCTGTAGAGTAACGCGAAGGTAGTAGGTAAGGTTTAGTAGGTGATATAGCTCGCTTGTTTAGTTTGATGGCTGGCTTTTGGTGGGGTTGGTTGAAATGGATGAGTTGTTGTTTGCGGTGTGTGAAGAAGAAAGTCTTGAAAGATGAATGGATGCAATCATATAAAGTGGTACCTTTTTTGGGTTTTGGGTTTGTTTGGAGGTTTGGAAGTGGTTATGGTTATGGTTTGGAAGTGGTTATGGTTGTGTTATGGTTGTGGTTATGTTGTTGGTATTGTTGCTATTACCAGATTATTGGAGTATGGAAGAGAGAAGAAAATAGTAACGGTGAGTGAGGAAGTATTACTAGGTAGCTATATAGATGGATAGATACTTGATATAGGATATAGCATATCTTGAATACAGCAACAGTGAATATAACGATGATTCCCGTTCAATATAATAGTTCAACAATACTCTGTGCTAGCTAGATACCTATCTTACCTCCAGATCTCAAAACCATGACTGAATATCATATCCGCATTAGACGAAACATCCCGCTGTCAAAGCAATATACAGCATTGTATTGACGAGATAGATGAGGCTTATTTGGTGTGAAGCTCTCATGGATGATCTAGATTTTGGAATGTACTGTTGCTTTACTCATGTACCAGTAGATACACTGTATGAGACGAAGAGCATCTGAAGCTTTGTCAAACTTGAAAGCAATGATACATACTACGAGCAATGTAACTGGAGCTATAGTCGTTGGATGTGATGTAGCTGTAGCCATGTCCAGTTACCATCAACGAGATAGAAAAACGCCTCTGATCTCTTAGCAATGCAATGAATGCAATGAATGCTATGCTATGCATAAGTTTGAGCAGTTAGCTGGATAAAGCAATAGATGCAGCATCGAAAGGTATCCCATCCCGCATCCTGGGCTCAAGAAATATCACAACTCTTCAAGTTCACTGAGTGCACCTACTGACAATCAACCTCAAGTCTTCAATGGAATGTTCCGCCGGTGAGCAAGACATGCATCGTGAGATGGCAAATGGAGTATTGATGATTCATCGAATAATAATAAGATACTATTATACCATCCGGACAAGAACTTTCATCCAACCATCATACTTGTACGTGGCAATCGTCTCCATTCCCTTCATGAAGAAGAGTCCCCAGAGGAGCGAGATTGAATGACTTTGATATTACATGAACGGTGAACCTTATATCTTCAACATGGGCGCCATCACAGATCAAAGAGTAGTCTTTCCTCTCAACACAACAAATCGAACCTGATCTCAAAGAGGAACCCAGATTCCGAAGAGCCGAATTAAGATGTTCCTTCATCAACCTCTCATATCCACGAACCAATTAATACACTTTCTCTCATTTCACCCTTTCGGTCCATTTTCATATGGATAACTCACGCCGTCGTGTACAATGTGGATTTGGATATCTTTAAAATTGCTATTAATTTTATGAGACCTCGTTTCTGGTTGTCCAATCCTATGGTGGTTTTCATTAGAATGGCCGTTCCAGATACTCGGGATTATATTGTACAATCAATTTTCTACAGAACAGAGTCCAGACATGCCTAGTAGGTCTCTATAGAAAATCATTACCCCAATCTAATAAATACAACAAGTATGGTAACTTACAACCCCTCCAAGATCAACAAATAAATGATCATACGATTCTCCCCAAAACGTTTCGAAATTCACATCTTATCGTCGCAGATATTTTTGAAACCCGCTTGGTTGATAGGGTTGCTGTTACTTGCCCACCTTTTCTTTCCAGAAATATTTCTCTCATCTCTCACCAGAGGTATTCCTTCTATCGGTGAGAATTGGCTTCGTCATCAGACATTCATCAAATCACCAGGTGTGAGGCTTTGAAGGTGGAGACTCGCTGAAATCTTCTCAATGAAGTTTTGTCTTGACTCTCGTATTGGGTGGGATAATGTAGAATACAAAAACTGTGTAGATCTTGGAGAAAGGAGTCAAATATGAATTACATTGTTGCTACACAATTCTGTCAGGAGAGTCCAATTTTCAGCTGGCTTCACCAAGCCTGTTGTCTATGAACGGAATTCTCCTCCTCGGCGCCTGGAAATTACCTTTACTTTTATCGTCGTTGTTGTTCTGCAGGAGCCGCGCCCCCAGATCGCATCTTTGCGAATATATACCGGTTGCTACGTTGTTTAAAGACCCTGGCTCCTGGCTCGTGGTTGTTGTAGATCTTACGGAATGGTTGTTCACTTGTGATTGATACATACGAGGATGTGATTTGCTTGTTTTGTGAGCTTAGTTCTTTATACTATGATAACTTCATTTTATCAAAGACTTGTGAGTGAATGTAATTTAGGAAAAATTATGAATACGACGGAAATTCTAGAAACTGACTTGGTAAAGGCAAGGTCTAGGGCTAGCTTGCTTAGAACTCTCGATTGTTTCGTCTCATCGTAAATTCATGCGATGAAGGAGGTAGACGAGACAGACGAGACAGACCCTCGAGAGACCCTCGAGAGACCCTAATACTAGGGATTTCAAGATGCTTCGAGGATGCCTAGTAAACATGGAGATCATATCCATGAAATGCTTGTGATGATCTTTTCCTCAAGAACACTCTCCTTCCTAATATTCCTGGCTCCTTACGAAAGCTCCTCGGGGCTCCTACCATATCGACTACGGAAATGCAGAGATGATGTTACCGCGAGGTCAGCGGAGATTTAAGTACAGATGGACTTGGTTAGCTGTACCATGCCTAGTCTGTATGACGAATGGGGTGCTAGGTAGGTAGGCTCGGTAGGCAATGGATTCTTCGCCGTTTCATTAGAAGAGGTGTTAGATGCGAGGGACTAAAATGACAAACGGATCGATGTTCAATCTAATCACTCGAACAAACGCAATTCCAAGAGACGCACGCCATCATAGGTAACATGTTCAATATCCAATTTCTTTCACATGTACACTTGCAGACTGCCTCTCACCTATTGAGCCGCTTCATCTCATTCGAGCTTCACACATAAGACCCCTCTTCATAACAATTTTGGCAGATATATCTTCATCTCATCATTGGATCATAACGAGGATTGTAAGATTAATGCATCTCCACAATAAACCTGCTTCTAATCTCTGGGATTCTGATACGCGATCTCATTCGCTTGTCTTCACTGCCAGCATCCTTAGGGCCTCAATGAACAAGGAAGACATGGGTTCTCATATCTTTTTCCAACAACACTCAACCAATGCCAATGGTCAATCTTATATCAATGTGTATAATACACCGGATGTAAGAACATTAGGGATGCATGTCAAAATAGCAACCTTGTATTACCACACGACCATATTTTGGGTTTTGGATATCCCAAACGTCTTGAAATCCAATTTCCTTCCAGAACGATATCTTTAGTAAATCCTCAGTACCAGTCAAAGCAATCATTTGGTACGGAACGGAAAATCTTCCCTGCACCAAATCATAATCCACTAGGAATTTAGGAGCAAATCATCTAGACGTCTAGACTCCACAACTGGGTAATCTCATCCCATGTCTAAAAGGGCTCAAATCGTTGTCAGAATCCTAACTTTGAATCAGCCACTTGAAAGCCTTTACTCATCCTAGATAGCTGATTAAATGTGCTACGTCAAAGGTTAGCTACACACGAATTGACAGCTTCTTACGATTATTCTACTAACTGTATGGCCATGGTGAAGCCCACTCGCTTGGCCTCGCCTTGTCCAGAATCAACCCCTTCCCCTTGTTCTCTCCCCAAATCTCCAAATTAAACGTCCTATTTACCTCAAACAATTACAATGTCCCGAGGTACCCCATCTCTTCTTACTTGCTCTGACTTACAGGGCTGAAGGAGATGTGCGATGCAACTAACAGATAAGTCATGTAACCATTTTCCTTGATCATTTTTGTTATTCTTTTCTCCTCGTGTTTGTCATATCTTCGATCTCTTCTCGATTTCTCCCTCTGGTCAAGAGTATCCCACTCTTTTGATTTCTCTGCTTCTCCGCGATTTGTTCTCGCGATTCAAGGGTCTCCTGGTGTTACCTCTTCATTCCTTTGAGAAATATATTCGATCAATATACTCGTTTCACCGTTTACATCAATCACATCACAGTTCACCATCGTCAACAAAAATACTCGAGTAGACCCATTTTATCGGTTCAAAAAGGCACAAAAGTTCAGGCTCAGACCCAGGTATACAGTATGTCGAAAAACATAACTAGGTCGAAGTCGGTGATGTCTCGGTTTAGAGGTCGAGATGCAACAGCCTCTAGTGCTTCACTTCATGTTACAGATGATGCACAGGGCAGGGATATCAATAGCAATACATTCCAAAAATTCGAACTTGGTCGCGAAGACCGGCTTAAACTTCCACAGCGACCATCAACTTCAGGTGGAACAAAGAAATCGATAGGAAATTTCCCCAAGAGGGCTCATACTGTCAAGAGAGAAACACGGGACGATCTATTTTTCAACCCTTTGACAGCACATGGGATAGACGGTCCTACGTTTTATAAATTTCCTTTACCTTCTACTCGACCCCCACCTTCACCAGTTGTACCAGCTGTGCCCCCAATGGCTGCACCTTCACCACGACCTTACAGTCCTGATTCTATCAAGACAAGTAGGACTCTTCGACCTAACGTTAGTGAACTTGAGATTGGTATGGCACTTGGAAGTCCTTCACACCCACCAGAAAACTGGCAACAAGGGCAACAATCCCTCGGAATGGAACCAGTCCGTACTCTGGATCCAATGGACGACATGTCTCATTATGCCGATTCTATTGCTGCCCCGAAGCAAAAGAAAGGTCGAAAGTGGTTTGGCTTATTTGGAAGTAAGAAGGAAAAGACACCTGCAACATTCTATCAACTGAAACCAGAATCACAACAAGAAATCCCTACGAGCGATCCTTCCTCACCAGAGACTAAACGTACTGGTAGATCTCGTGGTCGTTCAACTTCTAGTAAGACTGGTAAGAAACCTGATATGAAAAGATCGCAAACGGCACCAACGACACCAGGTTTACAACCTTCATTCCAACCTTCAACTTCAACAAGTATTCGAGCAGGAACTCCAGATATTCGTGTTCAAGGTCCGATTGGGGTAGAAGTTTTACGATCATACCCTAAAGTATCACCCGAAGGACCAAAACTTGATCTTGCACTTCCTTCGGTACAGATGGAAAGGTATAGTGTTATGTTTGGGGATATCTTACAGAAACCTTCTACCACCACTTCCTCATTACTTCAAAGACGTCAAGCAACACTCGATAGACTTAAGAGTGTTGAAGAAGCACTTGCGAATAAGGTTTGATATTCTTTTTATTATCTTTGAACTACACTAACAAATTGATCAGGAAGCAGAACTTGAGGCTCGTACAAGAGCACTCACCAAACGTAGGGCTACCTCACCGCAACCACATCACAACAGCCCATCTTTCTCTCTCTTTCCAAGCACACCCTCAAGACAAGGCAATCGTGAAAGCTCACCAACAAGAGAAAAGTCGTCGCTAAATAGATCCAACACCTCACCCGCCGCCCTATCTCCCTCTAGACCTTCATTCGCCCCAGGTTTAGATAACGATCTCCACGCCAATCTTGTGATTGATGACGAAACCTCCACTAATCGGCGTGGACATGAACATAACGATTCTTCATCAAGTTCATCTACTCAAAAACCACGCAAACAATCAACAAGATCATCATCGAGTTCTCCAAGATCGAGACCTCAACTCCAATCAGCACGTACGTGGTCACCAGATGAATCTCGGCTTTTATCTCCATCGTCCGCTGAAGAATCAGAAGCCGATGCACGTTCTATGAGTGGTCAAGAGAGAGAAGATTTATATACCGCATCGCAAATAACAGCAACCAAATCAAGGTTTGAGGAAAGGGAACCCACATGGCAGATGATCAGTTCCAAGAAACAAAATCACGGAGCCCCATCTTCGATATCGGGATCGACGACGAGTGAAGCTAGCACGGTATCATCATCACATTCTACTTCCTCATTCTCAAGTGTCCCCGGTGGTTTCACTACAAACACTATACCCATAATGCTCGAGCAAGACAAAGTGAGAGAAAGAGGTTCGAGGAAAACATCACCAACACATATTCAACCTCCTCAAAAGAGTAAAGAAACGAAAATACCTGTTAAATCTAGTCCTGGACCACGACCAATTATTTCAGCTTTCAATACCACCACTCGATCATCAGAAAATGCACCTCGTCCTATCCTCAAATCACCCATATCCGAAGATCAAGATCTGAGACCTAGACCCAGACCCTCAATCCAACAATCATCATCCAGTACCTCTCTCATCTCACCTCGTACCTCACTCCAAAAATCCCCCATGTCATCATCCACCACCTCAATCTCCTCACCCCGAAAAATTCACCTCCCCGCCTCTCCCCACCCCTCACGCACTACTTCCACCAACTCCCCCCTCCCTTCACCCGCCACCCACCAAAAACAAGAATCCACCTCCTCTATCACCCCCTCCCTCCTCTCCCTCCAATTCGACGACGACCCAATCTCCCTCTCCGTCCCACACTCCCGCACGCGAGACCCCGAACAAAAACGTCTCGAATCCGCCGCCGGCGTATCCATCGCGCGCCAAATCTCCGTCTCAAGACAACAGCGTCAATTACTCATCCCGATTAAAACCAGCGGCACGCTATCGAAACGCAATTGCGGGAAATCTCCTGCTCCTTCTGGGCTCCGAACCCCGAGTTCTGGGACTGGGAATGCGAAGAAGGAAATTACGGGTGAGGATGTTAATGCGAAGATGGGATCCCCGCTGGAAAGTGTGGCGGAGTTGAGTTTGAGGGGGAGTGGGTTGGCTTCTTCTTCTGCTTCTTCTTCTTCTTTCTCGTCTTCGTCGCAAGGACAATATGGAAGTGGAAGTTCGGGAAATGGAAACGCACACAGGATAGAAATGGAAATCGCTATCCCCAGCGACATCAAAGTAAAACAAATCTCCAAACCCTCCACCCCAACACTCGTCCTCGTCCCCGGCATCGAAGAACAATGGGGAGCAGGAATCGCCAGTTCCGGGGGCTTGATGAGTAGTAAAGAGAGAGTCGAAGCGATGATGAAAGGGAGTCGTGGGAGTCCGCTGCTGGCACAGCAGGGGTGGGAGGAACAGGGGGGGAAAATGTTGAGCGCGGTGCCGAGGACGGAGTTGGGGACGGGGCATCAGCATAGGAGGAGTGAGAGGGTGGTTGTGGTGGAGGTTTGAGGGGAGGGGGTGGAGGGGAGAGGGAAGGAGAGAAAAAGGGGCGATTATTCATTTCTAATTCTTTGATTTACATAGGTATACATAGCTAAACACATTTCCCTTTTTTAATCCCAGGGGATTCACAAGGGAAGGAGAAAGGGCGCGGGAAGGAAAGGAAAGGAAAGGAATTCAAGGAATGGGATGGAATCAAAGGAAGAATATGGGGACTCGCTCATTCCTTCCCTCATCAGCATTCACGAATCGCATGGTTTCATATCTACTGTACTAGGTAGTAATTCTATCGTTCGAGGTCACCTACCAACCACCATTATGATTATTATTCCACATCGCTTCAGGAAGGAAGAAGTGAAGGAAGGAAGGAGTTTGAAGAGCGAGCGATGACTGGGATATTATTGGAATACCATTTTTACACAAACATATAGATATTTCTTGTCTTGCCATCTTGTTATATGTTTGCTTGTATGTATATCCACATCCACATCCACAACAAGCAAGCAAACAAACAAACAAACAAACAAGCAACGCACTATAAATCAATAATCAATAACTCATATGTAATTCATATATTCTACATATCCCATCCCACTCCATCCCACTGCATCATCTCATTAACTCTACCTACGATATCCCACTTATTACTCAAATATCTAGGTAGATATCTATTGCTCATTCATACTCCCTCCTTCTAACCCGCTACACCACATCACACCATACCATACCATATACTTCGACATCATATACCCTCACTGAAAATATGATATAGTATCTACCCCATCCCATCCCATCCCATCCCATTCCATCCCTCAAAACACATCTCCCCACCCAACCCAAAAGCCACTCCATCCCCAAAATGCATCCCCTTCCTATCAATGCAAAAAAACAAAACAAAAGACGCCTCGTATGTATGTATTCATTTCCCATCATCACAACTCCCCGCCCACCTCTCATTGACCTCTTATCCATCCACTCCTATTCTATCGAATCAAATTTAATCCCCTCATTCCCCACCCCCTCATATAGACACAAAATACAAATGCTCTGAATGAAAACCAAAAGCAGAATCAAAACCAAAAATCATAATCAAGAAAAAAAAAGTATTAAATAAAAAAGGGTATCAACTCTCTCTCTCTCTCTCTTTCCCTCCATCTTCTCCCTTCTTTCTTCCATTCTCTGTTTCGCGCTCACTTACTCTCGATCTTCGGAGTTGAATATCCAATATCGACATCCAATCCTTTAAAGTGAAATTTCCAATTTCAGTTATGGCGACCAGGCTAGCATTAGGAGAGGCGAAGAATGATTGATATGCACCATTCTTTCTTTGCTCTTCCTTGCCTAGTATCTGAGGGCAAATATATCCGGGTGTAGAGTGCTCTTTCGTGATATCATAATCGATCGAGCCAACCATCTTTCAACATAATCTTTAGAAGCTCCACGTCACTCTCTTTATAAAATAGAGTTTCCCCCTCTCAACAACATCTCCCCCTCCTCTTAATATCACCCCCCTCCCCCCTCTCTTCATCTCTCCTCCCCCTCCCATCAGCATTCCCATTTCCATATGTACTCCCAATCCGCACCCCCGTCCCAGCATCACTTCCTCCAAGCGGCGTCCCCCCCGTTAGTCCTAACAACCAACTCCTCCTATCTCCTCTTCCCACTCTAAAACTTCCTCCAGGCCTCATAATCCCGTCAAAATATCCCGTTTGCCCCTCTATACCCATCCCATCATTTCCCACACCAGGCGTACCGGGAGTCGCTACCGCGCTCAAAAGTTGTTCTTTCATCTTATTATTCTGTTCCACAAGTTTTCTCGTGATAACTCTAAAAACCTCTTCTACGCCCTCTCCACTCTCCGCACTAACTTCATGACAACAATCCCATCCCACTTCCATACCCCAGAATCCAGAACTTCTCTTACTGGAAGGTGATCGTGCACCTTCTATCCCCGTTGTGCCTTGACCACCAGATCCCCACACTCCACCTCCGGCACCGCCCCAACTGCCGAAACCACGTTCCCCTGATGCAGTAGCAGGTGGTGTGCTACCTAAAATAGATGTGACGTTTTCGGCTACATATGCAATACATCTCTCGAACGGAATTTCTCTTGCACTAGGATCTTTAGCGACGAGATCGGCTTTGGTACCTACGACATGGAGGATGATATCCGCCGGAAGATTGCGACGGAGTTCGGTGAGCCAGACGGACATTTCGGTGAACGAGGTTTGGGATGTGATGCTGTAGCAGAGGATACAGGCATTTGCCCCACGGTAGTAAAGGCGGGATATGGATCTATAGATTGGGAATTAAGTGGTTAGCATGTCATCTTATACTTCTTGTTCTTGTTTTTATCCCCATTTCCCAATACGTGATCTCCCAATCCCTCCTCCGTTCACCCATCTTTCCCGCCAACTCCCCCTCACACACAATACCCCTCGCCCCAAGGAACTTCCACGCCAAACACATACCTAAATCTTTCCTGTCCCGCTGTATCCCAAATTTGTAATCTCACAACTGTATCACTCTCGGCATCCACCACTCTCTTTGTCAGAAAACTCGCCCCCACAGTTGATGTCGTAGTTTTCGGGTTAAATTGGTTCTTGATATAACGAAGAAGGAGTGATGTTTTGCCTACACCTTGAGCGCCTAGCACCACTATCTTGGCTTCGAGGGAGGTGCTCATTTTTCCTTGATTTGGGTGTAGGAGGTGTAGGAGGTAGGTTGGCAGGGGATTGAGACCAAGGAGTCGAATATTTGGTTTCGTAGTAGATGTAGGTAGTTATGAGGCGACCGTACGGTGCATGTGAATTGTAACTGTGTAGATGGGTGAATATCTCGCAATATCTTCAGCACGAGAATGACGTTCCGCACTGATCCCTCTTGATCGTCCTTCCACAGTGACTCTGCAAGATCCCACGATATAATGCCGCAGATTGTTTCCTCCCAGCCGCTTTTTCGTTTCTTCACTCGTTCACTCGAATTCTCTCCAGAACCAATATAAAATATATCTCTTTTCTCTTTGCGCACCCTTCCTCGATAAAGCTCCAAAAGTGCGTTTGGCAGTTCCGCAGATTTGCAATCAAATCTTCCTATTGCCCCCTACAGAAATATCACAAATTCTCAACAGATGCCCTACGTATGCTCCCCTCTTCCTACTCTTCTGCAGTCCCTCTTTTCCTTTCTCTTGTCCTTATCGTATATCTTCCGTCCTCCCGTCTGCAAATATGGTATTTCGTTGCCGACCTGTTCTCCGTTTCCTCGTTCGTTTATCGAGTATGCCTATTCCTACTCTTTGTTGTTTCGATGCGTCTGTTTCGTTCCGTACCGTAATGATTCATACACTCATATCGCTCTCGTTGTTGTTCTTGGATTTGTTCCTCGTATCATATCTTCATTTCTCATTCCATTTCGGCTCATCCTATTTCAGCTCATCTCACAATCCAAACCCTAAAGTCATATGTCGTTGATCCTTCACTCTCGTCCAATCTACAAATCCGAGTTCGAATACAATCCAAATATTCTCTCTCTGCTCTGATGTCCTTCCGATGTGATCCTAGGTATGCAAATCAATCCTAACCAATCTATTTGCCCAGATTCAATTTAGATGCGTATTCAAACTCGGCCTCTTCCACATTATCTATTCCAAGCCCTCGACAAACCCGTTTGAAACCAATACAAGCAAGTACCTAGTAAGCAGCCGCACAAACAGACAATCAAACGCACAAACAGATAAACAAATCAAACCGACGATAGCAAACTCGATGAGAGTTGTACAATAGACACCAAACTTGTTATATGTCTTCACTCAACAACCACGATTAAGTTCCGAATTTGAAAACAAAAGACAGAAAAAGAATGTGTGCTAGGTGGTAATCTTCATTTAAATTATCGAAATTGAAATTGCTTATTGCTTTTTGGACTACTCGTACTTTACCATATCATACCACACACACACACCACTTTGTCAGTCCTCTTGTAATATCGAAAGTCTGACAGTTATTAGACCCAATGGACTAGAATCCACCATGACGCACCTAATAAGAAATCCCACCCCTAGAATAAAATCCCCCAAACCCTAGAAACTAGGGGGGTAAAAGTACAGAGTAGAAATCTAATGCCCAGAGATCAATGCCTAGGTTTAAACAATGAAGAACCCCCAAGTTTCTTGTTCTGTTCTTTGCAGCACACATGACTTTCACAACAGGTTCTCGTAGTCGTTATGTCATGTCGATCAGCGGTTATGCATTCTGACGCAAAGCAGATTCAAAGTAGTTTAATCTTCAAATTTGCCGTGTGAAACATATGTACTCATGACTACATTTAGCAAGTATTTCAAGTTTTGGCTTGGAATGAACGGGCTGATGGCCTGCGCACTACGTTTCGGCTTGGATCGGGCCAGGCCAGGGCATGAAATCGGTAGGAGCGTTTGGTCCGAGTCGTACAGAGATGGGATTTTACATGTTACTATGGCAATATCTAAGTTCCGCGTTATTGATCTTTTATTTAAAATGTGTGAATGCCTCAAAATTATGTGTACATGTCTTCTTTCTCTAATCAACATCTTTCTCCATATATCTTCTACAACTTCACACTTCACAACTTCGCCTTGGCTTTCTCTGCTGGATTCGCCAGAGGATCATAAGTCGTCATACCCTATGTAGTCGTTAGCTGCCAGTCATTTCTCATCTCATATCAAGAGCGGAAACTTACCAAAGTATCAATCGGAACCATTGTAGTATGTGAACTTAATCCTCTAGTATCGATCAATGTTGGATTCAACTGATCCACACTCGAACACCCAATCAACCTCATATTCATTTCCATCTCATCTTTCAACAACTGCATAGCACGATCCACACCCGCCAATCCATACGCACTCATAGCATACAAGAAAGGCCTACCGATTCCAACACCTTTAGCACCTAAACAAAGTGCTTTGATGATATCCGTGGATCTTCTGATTCCACCATCAATATAAATCTCGATACGATTTTCCCATCCACGTTCTCGAAGAACGGGCATAACTTCTGCAAGAACTTCGATACCTGATCGAGCAAAATCTAATTGACGACCTCCGTGATTGGAAAGTACAACACCTTGAACGCCACATTCGACAGCTCGAATAACATCCTCCACACGTTGAACACCTTTGAGAATGATAGGCATCTTGGTAATAGACTTGAACCAAGGGATATCTTTCCAACTCAAAGCTGGATCGATAAAACTCGAAATAGCTCTCGCTGCACCTTGAGAGTTGTCCGTGGATTGCCCACTGCTTGATTGGACAGATGATCCTACATCCGTAAATTTTGATCGCATATCCTTCTCTCTTCTTCCTAACTGAGGAGCATCGACTGTGATGAATAGACCCTTGCAACCACGATGTTCGGCATGTTGAACAATCTTCTTTGTAATCTCTCGATCCTTATTGACGTATAATTGTAACCATTGAACCTGCTGTCCCTCTGCGGCATCCATGATTTCATCAAACGAGCAAGATGCTAGAGTTGGAATCATTTGTATAACATTGTGTTTCTTTGCCGCTCGTGTGAAGACAACCTCGCCTTCAGGGTGTCCAAGCTTTCCCAATGCTGTAGCTGTCACGTAGAAAGGGATATCGACTTTCGTTCCAAGCATAGTTGTAGTAAAGTCGACCTTTTCCACATCCACAAGAACCTTTGGTCGAAACCAAATCTTATGAAAGGCGGAATGATTTTCTCGCATGGTCTACTAATGTTAGCAATGGCATCTATATTGAATACAGGAAGGGTCTGTCTTACAATTTCATCATCAGCACCGCTAGAATAGTATGCCCAAGCAGTCTTCTTCATAACCCTTCTTGCCACGGACTCGAAATCCATCAAATTGTAGCATTGTTCTAAAATTGGCATACGTGCAATTCTCTCTTGTCTTGCCTCTTCATCTGGATCGAATTCCTTCTCTTCCTTCTCGACTGTGCCCATATCAACTGGTCCTAGATGTTTCGCTTTGTCTAAGAACTTATCGAGAGTGTCAGGGGGATGAATGGGTTCGTATTCTTCTGTTGCATCTTTGCCCTATATTATAAAGTTAACTTCTCTGCACATCATTTATATATTTCCGAGGGATATTTACGGCATATTTGAGAATGATCTTGGGTCCGCCAGGATGTTCTATCGAGGTAATTAATACATAGCTTCCCTTAATACCACACATATCTTCATACCAGGTAAGAATTCCGTAACATCATAAGCTTTTCCCTACATCAAGAATTAGTCCTTGCCACTCCATCATACCATGAGGCAAATACATACATGAACAATAACCCAGCATGACTCCTTCGAATTGTGTTCTGCGACTTCCTGTCCAGTTAACTTGGCCATCTTCTCGTTTAGCTTGTGATAATCCAATGTCTTGATATCTTCAGAATCGTAATCACAATCGCAATTGGAAAAGAGATGTGTAAGTGAAAGAAATATAATAAATTCAAAAAATATTGTAAACAAAAGAGAGAAACCCGAGAGTATATACTGTCAAAGTCAATAGTTAAGACCTAAAGATAGTTTGTGGAGTAGCCTCGGGAATGGTGGTCGCTATTGAGGTAGAGGAAAAGAAAGGGAAGGAAATCCATGCTCGGTATATCCAGCCTCTCATTTCAGATTCGCCTTTTCGGATGAATGGCGAACGAATGAAACACAGAAGGTATACCGGTACCGACTTAGGAGATATTCACCGTCCAAGCAAGCATGTGTATTTGTAATTGCATCAATGCGAAACTGGAGATAGTGTTTGCTTGAGACTTATCTTTCAATGCAATGTCTTTACAGAAATTCAGGTTGTACCGGGAGATATTGAAGGAAGCTTGCATTTTGAGATGCAAATCATGCTTTGGCCTTGATAACGACTTATCTCCCTCCGTACCTTGATGATGAGAGTTCAGCAGCCCCACCGACTTCGGATGCGGGGAGAGCTACGGTAGGGATGAAAGTGATTTGGCCAATAAGATATCAGCTATTAGATACCTAGGTATCATTCGTCTCTTGGATTCGAGTTACTCAGACCTTTGGATATAATTGAGGACGACTTGAAATACTATTCCACTACCGTCTTGAAGTACCGGTGGGCTACGGAACATTTTTCAAAAGGGGGCGAGAATATCGTCAGTGTATCAAATTCAAGGCAAATGTCATATCTACAAGTCCTGAGCTGTGGAAAGTCATATACTATATCTTATCCCATGTTTTCTCGAGGATACACTTATCAATTGTCATACCTTTCGTCATTCATAGCTCTACAACTTCAGCTGGATTCCCCACATCAGTCGATGATTGATAGACAATCGCAGCATTGATCATCAAACCACCATTTCCACCAGCAGGTCCAACCATTAATCTTTGCCATAAAATACCCTTTACTCCATACCAAATCACTTTCACAGCATCGACCCATGCAAAGCTCGGCATAAAGTCCATGATCATGCCTCCTCTCTTTCTTTCCATGAGTCTCTCATAAGCTTCTTGTCCCTTATCCCAGAACACAGCTTCGCGACCATGTCCGGAGTGTATATGCCCAAACACATGAAGTCTAGGTTTGACCTTCCATATTTCGTCCAGCAACGATTTGCAACCTAGGTTGATGTCGAGGTGATGTCGAGGTGGACTGTGTGTAACCAGAATGTCTGTATCTTTCGGTATACGATTTTCCCACGGCGCAAGATGTCTTTGATATTGAAAACTGGCAATTGAGAATACGATTAGCATTCAAATTCTTTTTGAAGGATTGCGGGCTTCTCACGCAAAATCAGAACCACCACATTGAGGGATATCTGGTGAACCATAAACCTTGAGCTTTCTTCCGCTCTTAAACTTCAATGTTATAGCTTTGTTCTCCAAGTAATGTAAGCTTCTGAAATTCAATTTCCTCTTCTTATCTTCTTCTTTCCTCGATTTGGAATCAAAATAGCTATCATGGTTTCCACAAATAAACACTTTCTCTCTATGTGGCTGTTGATCCAACCAATCTATCTGGGCTTGTATTTCTTCCACCGTGCCCGCATTTGTCAAATCTCCTGCATGTATCAAAAGATCTCCAGGTGGAATTGGTAATGTATTGCAATGTGTATCTGAGATACAGACAACTCGAACAGGAGGCTTGTTTCGGGGAGGTTTGAAAGATGTGCCACGGAAATAGAGGAGGATGGTATGGAGGTAGAAGATCAATGTGCGGAGAGGAGATTCGAGGAGAGAATCGAGAGGAGTTGGAGGATCGTATATATTATTTCGACGAGACCATGGGTATATGGTCTTGTGTTTGGATGCCATGATTGAGGTATGCTGACGCCAGTGGGCGGATATCAAGTAGCTTTAGCAATTTGCAGTTGAGGGTTGATCAAATATACCTACGATTAGGACAATCCTCAATTAAGAGTTGCCTTTCAATATCCAGGATAAAGTAGACACATTTCCATAAACCACAACCGATATTGATATTCACAGGAGAAGACAGTTAGTTACCTGTCTATTGTATCCGTACCTAGTCAATCGATACTCAACCAGATTAAAACGTGGGGTGTACAGAGTATGTGTGTACTTCGTACTCTGTACTCTATAACTTCACCGAAGCCAAGCTTTAATTTAGGTGACGTGACAAGGATAAATTCAGGCTCCCCAAATTTAGCTTAGCGACGATTTCGTCATGGATGTTTAATGGCTTGATTGAAGCTTGTGTGAATATTATCATTCGACAAAGAGCTGGTTATTTACCAACTTTTCACCTCTTGTCGTTTTTATATCGTCTGCCATATATCTGCGGAAACTTGAGTCGATCAAAGTTCTACTGGCAGATTCGCATCGACAATATGGCTTCGCTCAAGAGCATTTACGAGCCAAATCCAGCTCTTGGAAATGCTTTAAATACAAATTTTGAGTACGTAAACTGGAGGGGCTCATGAACATTAGCTGATCAGAATCTATACAGAGTCGACTTCGTAATCGATTATCGATTTGCTACTATAAGTATGACAACCCAAAGCTTTCCATGCAATTTCGCAGTTAACTAATTTACCCCGCCAGACAAAGTCGAAGCCGAAGCACAATTCGTAAAGCTCATCGAAGCTCTCAACGATGTTGGACTGATGACTGAAGTGCGAAATGGAGATAACTGTTCACTTCTTATATTTGTCAAAGCTGCTTCGGACAGACATCTACGATCCGAAGTATATCGCTCCAGAGTACAAGATTGGTTATATGGAGTTCGAACAGCTGCACCAGAAAAGAATATGCAAGAGGCTTTGAGTGCGGAACCAATTACTGAGGCTGAACGATTAAGATTGGTTTACTTGTTAATCACCAAACCGAGAAATGAAGGTGGTGCTGGAATTACGCCCAAGAGAGGGGAGTGGAAGGGAGTCGAATCGATATTTCCTCTTCATGACCATGCATTCAACAAGGCGTGGATTAAGGAAATTACGTCCAAGTATCTTCTCACAACCAAGGATCTAGAGGATATCAAGGACAGATTTGGTGAAAAGATTGGATTTTATTTCGCCTTTCTACAATCCTACTTCATGTTCTTGATATTTCCTGCGGCATTCGGATTTTGCGCTTGGGTTCTCTTCGGTCAATACTCCCCAATATATGCCATAGTCAATGGCTTGTGGGGAATTGTCTACACGGAATATTGGAAGAAACAAGAAACCGACCTTGCAGTACAATGGGGTGTTCGAGGAGTATCCAAAATTCAACACAAAAGACCCGACTTCAAGCATGAAAGGGAAATCAAGGATCCGGTTACTGGAGAGCAGATCAAGTTTTACTCCCCAGTGAAAAGATTGAGTCGTCAATTGCTACAAGTACCTTTCGCACTCTGTGCTGTTGTTATACTGGGAAGTTTGATTGCAACTTGCTTTGCAATCGAGATCTTCATTTCCGAAGTTTATAATGGCCCATTCAAGGCATATTTGGTACGTACGTTGATCCTGAAATGAAAACTTTGCTAATTGTAGACAGACTTTCTTACCAACTGTCATTTTGACTGTTTTCATGCCAACACTATCTGTTCTTTTGACAGGATTTGCCTCAAAATTGACAGATCTCGAGAATTACGAAACTACTGACGGTAAGTGACCACCCCGTGTGTCTTAATTTGAGTCTTTCTAACCTTCAATAGCACATGATGCGGCAATGGTTCAAAAAATCTTCGTCCTCAACTTCATAACATCTTACATGCCAATCTTCCTCACAGCATTCGTCTATGTTCCATTTGCTCAACACATCGTCCCTCATCTCGACATTTTTCAAATGGCCGTGAGACCATTTGCCGAGAATGACGAACAAATGACAGCACCAAAAGTCGGATTCCAAATTAATCCTGACAGATTAAAGAAGCAGGTCATCTACTTTACAGTTACAGCACAAATCGTCAATTTCGCTCTCGAAGTCATTGTTCCATACGTCAAACGTAGTGTCTTTAGAAAATACAAAGAAGTCCAAGCCGACCGTGCCGCCAAGCGTGGAGGCTCCTCAATACTCGAAAGTGATCATCCAGAAGAGAGCGCATTCTTGACCCGTGTAAGAAATGAAGCCGAATTGGGTATCTATGACGTAACATCAGATTTCCGAGAAATGGTCATTCAATTTGGTTATTTGTCTCTGTTTTCTGTCGTTTGGCCCCTTACTGGTATCTCTTTCTTGATCAATAATTGGATTGAACTTAGAGGTGATGCTCTCAAAATCGCACTGGAAACTCAACGTCCTGTTCCATGGCGTGCAGATTCTATAGGCCCATGGCTTGATGCATTGGGTTTCTTATCATGGTTGGGAAGTCTTAGTACGGCAGCTCTGGTATACCTATTTTCCGGGGATGGATTTGGACCGGATGGAACACCTAGTAAAATGACGGGTTGGGGAGTATTACTTACTATGTTTTTCTCGGAACACATCTACTTGACTTTGAGAAGAGGTATTCGATTGGCATTGAGTAAAATTGATAGTCCGGGATTGCAAAGAGAGAGAAGAGAAAGATTTGCAGTTAGGAAGTATGTTGTTCCTGCCGTGTTTGCTTCGTTTGTGCCCCTTTTCTCGTTCGTTTAAAGGGTGTTTGTAGTTTTTTTTTCGAGGCTTAAACTAATTGTGGGTGTGATAGACAATATTTACAAGAAACGATATCGCAAGAAGCTGCGGAAAATGCTGCTTCGGGAGGAATTACAAATGGAGAGAAGATTAGTAGAAATACGCTAGAGGAAGAAGCAAGAGAATCGAGTTTGAGGGGCCATGGAACTGCAGAGGAAAGGTATGTTTAGAAGTGAGGAAATTGTAGGAGAAGGTATCAGACTAACGAAATCAATAGATTCTGGCAGAGACAAAGAGGACAAGGAGAAACTATCGCGATGGGAAGGAGTTTTATTAATAAGACGGCTCCAAATGTGGAATCGAAGAAGGAACTTTGATTTGGCTTCTATTTTTCTTGATTTTGATGACTGTGGTTTGGTGGAGATGGATAGATTTGATGGATGAGGTAAGGGTGACTAGGAAATGAACATGAACATGAACACACGAACACGAAAATGGAAATGGAAATAGAAATGGAAATGGAAATGGAAATCGGGAGGGAGGGAAAAAGCAAAGTCGAAGCGAGGGAGGTATTCATGCGGGCTTTTTGTGCGTTTTGATTGATCGGTTTTAATTGTTCTTTTTTTTCGGGTTTGGTTCTCTTGATAATTGGTATCTATCTAGGTGTGTATGTATGCATAGCGTAGAATAGTAATATGAATGGAAATATTGAAATGAATGAATAGGATAGGATGGGATGTGCTCTTTTTTGAATCAATAAGTCATACTCGAGTACACTCACCAAGTCCACGCCCAACGAGCAACAAGCAAAAGCAAACAACAAACAAAAACAAACAAACAAAAAAGATACACCTTAAACAGTAAACTATACTCCTAAATATAATATAAATATGGGTATCCCAAATCCCAATTTTCAAATCCCAAATCCCAAATCCCCTCTCCCAGCTCCAAAGTCAGCTCGGAATCAAAGTCAGCTCCAAAGCCAAATCAATCCAATCCAAATCAAAAACAATTCCTATCCAAATCAAACCAGATCCTCACGCACTTCTCCATTCACCATTTCAGGCCTGTGAATCCCCATTCTGTGGTGAATCTCATCTCATCTCATCTCATCGGGTTCGAATGCCAGCCGAATCCCATCGAATTGAAATCATCCATTCATTTATTCAGAATCCACCATCTACCATCCACCATCCATCATCCATCATCATCCAGAATTTCGACTTCCTAATTTCGTCCCACGTCACCTGGTGTGCTCAGTAACTTCCTCTTCTTTCTTTCTCTTCGCTTGCGTTTGCGTTCGCCTTTATCTTTACCGCTATCTATCTCTGTTATTGGTGTTGATATTGATATTTATTCATATTCATGTTTGCGAGTACATGTGTGTATGTGTGTGTGTGTGTACATGTCATGTCGTAATTATCATAGGTAGGTAGTCATAGTTGGTCTCCCCTCCTTTACTCCCCCTTATCCCTCCCACCCAGCCACCACCCCCTAACTCCTCAACCAACTACTCCCCAGAATCCCCCCACTCATACTCCCATTGCTCCCTCTATTCCCATTCCCCGGTGCGCCCTTCGAAGCCGACCCTACACTTCCACTACTCCCTCTATTTCCACTCCCGCTCCCACTCCCACCCCCATCACCCCCGGAAGTCCCCGGTCTCACCCCCCCATCCACCTCCAATCCCGACTGCACGCCCACCAACGGACTACTCGGCGTACTCGCCGAACTCCCATTACTCCTCACGCTCGCCGCCCTGCGATGTCCATACCCCATCAAGCCACTCAGCGAACTCCCACTTCTTTCCCTCAACGCCTCTCCCTCTTTCTGTACCGGACTCTGTGGACCCCTCCCACTCCGATTCCTACTCAAACTAGAAGGAAAACTAACCATCCTCCCTTTTCCTCCCGAGAAACCAAATGCTGCTCCTAACCCCCCTCTTTCCTTTTTCTCAATATCCGTGCCTAATATCTTCGACGCTTTAGCATTACCAGATGACGAATCCGTACTTATTAAATCCTCCACGAAACTACTTGGAAAAAGTCCCCATTTTCCTTTACTAGTACAACCACTCCAACACCATTGATCTTGCCAAGCATATCCTACACTATATATTCTCTCTCCTTTCGAGAACTTAAGCCATCCCTCTTCTTTATCTTTCGGTTTCCAATCCCATTTCGCGACTGCTTGAAGGGAACTCTGTGGAATCATTTTTACTTCATCTCGCGGTGGTGAGAGGAAAGAAACAGTGTTTGCGGGAAAAGATCCTCGTTCGCCATCATGATATCCTATACACCATGTACCTCCAAAGCGTTCCGGAAACGATATCCCCACAATTTTTGCACCGTCTGCAAAATGCATACTTTGTTGACCGTCAGGATCCCGAAAAGTTTTAGCGACAGGCTTTGGATGATGGGTTGTGGTTGCATGAGCAGTAGGACGAGATGCTACTTTCGATGAGATCTCAGACATGCAATAGGGAGAAAATTTAGGTTCGTGAATTGTGAATTGGATATCGAAATCAAGGACTGAAGGAGGTTGAATTCCGTAGACTGTTGTAATACCTGCTACTTGAGGAAGTGGACGAGGATGACGGGCTAAGTGACGAAATAGGGATGTTACGCTAAAGAAAACGGTTGCGTCGTGTTCTTCAACTGTGCGATGATCTTCAATGCAGAATATACACTTGATTGAGACGTTAGCTATTTGTTTGGGTTCAGGACGCAGATAGAATGAAATGACTACATACACCATAGATAGGATCATCTATTGAAGATGTTTTAAGATGACATTTGGAAATGAATCGCTGACGCCATCGAATACCGGTATTAGAATATATACCAGAACCTATACACGAACTAAGATTAGCATCCTTCTCCACGCTTAAGAAGCAATTTACACATACGATCAAGTAATCTATCTTTTTCCACATCATTCCATCCAACCTCATAAGCACATTTAATACATCTCGCACTCAGAGTAGCACTATAATGGCCCTGATCCTTCTGTTAGTACAGACAAACCTAAGTATTAGCAAGGGGACGCGAAAAATATCTGACCAATGAAAAAATGAACAAAGTAAAAGTAAAGAAGAAGAAATTCTACATACCGAAGGTCTCTTCACAACTTTAAATCCAGTTTCCCCTCTAATCATCGCTTTAGCCCCCGGACAAAATCCATCGAATTTATAAAACGAACTATCATGTCGCATAGGACAATCTATACTTCTCGTTGAAGGAGTGGCTCTATGCATTGCTAATTGACTTTGACTTCGATTTTCTGGAATGGGATTCGAAGGTTGTATTGGTACTGGCTCGGGATCTTGTGTTGGCACAACTTCTAAACCACTTTCGATAATGGGAACAACTTCTAATCCATCTTCAACTCCATTACCAAAACCAGGCAGTTGTAATGTGGTAGCTAAGGATGTAGTAGAGGTTGGGGTTGTGGTTGCAGGTGCTAGTCTACCCCATGATGCCGGATCACGTATTTCAGACATTGGTGGACTAACTGGACTTTTCAACCATAATGAAGTTCCTGACTCCGAAGGTTGATATTCGCTAATACCAGGACTCAATGGCGTCGCCGAGATTGGCGTCGGAGGTTTCAGTGAGGCAGTGGGGAAATATTCATTGTCCGGTTTCGTCGTACTCGAAGATGCAGGTGTAGCATCTTGATCCCGTAATGATCCATTCCTCGAACTTCCTCCCTGAGAAGTCTGAACTTGACTCCTTTTCCGTCCTATCAAATCATCATATCCACTTCCCCTAGAATTATGCCTCTCTATCGGACTACTAGCTGAAGAATATGAAGACCAAGGAGATGTAAGCATCGATCCATCACTAAAAGTTTCGCTTGCCCTATTCTCTTCTATCGAGGAGACTGATTTTCGTATTTCGTTATGAAATGACATACGAGACTGTTTTCTTCGTTCTAAAAATTCCTCATTCGCATTTAGTCGTTGATATACCAGCTCTTTGGCTATTAATATTTGCTTTGAAGGTGGCGTTTCATATCCATATTTGGGAGGGGGTGTGGCCTGTATCGATTCTTGATAACTTGGTTCTGGAGATTGACCACGAGGAGGAGTCCTTGGTCCTTCATCGAAATATGGCCCACTCAAACTCCATGGATCTTCCTTTTTGAGAGACCTCCTTGGAGGATCAGATAGTGAAACTTTATGATCGATAATTTGTCTATCAATTCGGGAGGGCAGTGATGAATATGGTGGAGCGGTAGGATTTATAGGACCTGTTACCGGTGGTCTTCGCGGAGATTGTTCCATAATCGGTACGTGTGCAGGACTCAATGGGGGGGATCTATCCTCCATCCGAAAGTGATGACGATCCGTCTGATCTATCCGATCCCGAAGATTGTTGAAAATAAAAGTACATTCCGTCCGACATCTTTTCGATTGTTGTTTGACATTTGTGAAAGCTGACGCTTGAAAAGATTCGAGATTTTCATCGAAATCCTGACATTCATCAATTTGATCCCTCAGATCAATCTTAACCTCTCTCAATCGATTTTGAATAGATTCTACCACATCATTAGTCAATAACTCCCATCTATTTCCAAATTCCTCAACAACACTTACCATCCTCCATCAACGCCTTAGCAAAATCTTCACCGTATGATCCTACAGCATCTCTATAAGCATCCGCAATAGCCTGACTAGTCTTTTCCAAATTCTTCTGCAGATTTTGTGCCAACTCCGATATATAAATAAAATTACTGGGCCCTTCGCTCGCAGATCTCGCAACCCTCTTCGTTAACTTTATCCCCGCATCTAGTGCCTTTATAATACCCTTTATGGGAGCCGCAAAATCGTCCGACATCTGGGCGGGAGCTTACGAGCGTAGCTCGCGAGTAATGAGTATAGCTTTGAATAGTTCGTATATAAATATATATTCCAGACGCAGCACTTCACCAAGGACGGGATGACCTAATTCACAAACCGTCTCTTGGCCCGACCGTCTCGCGCAGAGGCCCCTCCACTTCCACTTGTGCTAATCTTTATCGACAAATCTTGCGCCAGTAGTATTCGGGGTCGTGTTTACGTTCGCTTTCAATCGATCAATCGAAGGAGATGTGTGTAATATTGGCACCCGTTTCCGTAATATCTAATCCAATCCCTCCTCCCAAACAGCGAAATCTTAATCCGCGGCACTGTATGAAATATCAAGAATGTAGTGATCAAATATATATACTATCCAAAACAATAAATTGAACGATTGCGCAAGTACTTATGTATGCTGGCACGGTAGTACTTCGAATGAATGATGGTGAGGTCTGTGTCTGCAGGAGAAATGAAGAGCGCGAAAGGATGACTGCAGGTAGTTCTGTTGTGTTGCGCTGAGGCTCTTTGCATTGCAATACAATATGTATGTGTAAGTGACCTTTTACTCGGTAGGTATTACTCGTCCACGGGTCGTTCAGTCTGCTTGGAAGTATAGATGGATGCAGTATGACCATACCGGGAAAAGTAACCGTCCAATATCGAATCCACCCAATTTACTGGCAGGAGTATGTATGATGGATAGTGCGATTCTAGAAGTATGTATGGCTATACAAATGTAAAAGGTACGATGCCCGAAAGTCCGTTTCCGTTGCCTTGCTACCCTCGTCTTGCCCTGCTAGCTGCTGACACACACGATACGTAGATCGCCTTGAGAAGTCAACTTTACCAGAAACCTACGAGAAACTTTGCTTTTTCCATCGAGCTTTCTTTCTATCCCAGATTTCCATAGGATAGGATGCGAGCTCACATCCTATAGAAATAAAGCTCAGGAACTAGAGGTCCTCACGTACCACTTCCTGTCAGCCCTGATCCACGCTGTGCTGCAAAGTGAGCACAGCCCCTAGACCGATTAAGCCCTGTACTCTTCTTCTATCTGCCATACACGTAACTGCACAGAAGAGCAAATTCTGCGGACTCTTCCATCCCATTCACAAACCTACATAATAATGCCTTTGAAAAGTTTCTCCAACGAAAGACATGTATGTAATTAAATCAAGTTTCGGAATTATTGGAAGAAATTGTCACAAAAAGAAAATATGCCCCCCAAAAAAGTACTTTGACACAATACAAATTAAAGTAAAAGGTACCAAGCTCTAGCGGCTAGCCTTTCCACAATTTGACGGAACAGGGGGCCCACTATCGGTTCAGCCCGGTCGTTCGTCCCATATACCAAGGTATCCCTCCATCCAAATGATCCAATGTATCCAGATTTATGTTTGAGTTTTCTATGTACTGTAGATAAGCATATATATGAAGTTTAGGCGATTCACGATTCTCAAAGAAATCATTTAAATCTATTGTAGTGATTCTCTTCTCGTTTCTTCCTCTCTATCTATTTACATCAAATCCATTGACTGTAATCAATTCTGGTCGCTCTCATCTTCATCTCATCTTCATCTCATCTCATCGCATTGAAAAAAACGCATTCCATTCCTTTTACTCCCTTCATCACATCGTCTGAATCAGAACTGGATGTGCGCCTGCAAATCCCTTACTAGTCAAATATGTAAAATAAAATTAAACTCAACTCCAATGTACAAGAAGAGCTACTAAAAAAAAAACTGAAGCTTAAAAGGTTGCAACGGCAATTGCGATGGCTTGAGTGTCAGAGTGCGAGATTGAAATGCTAATTTCTTTCACACCAGCTTTCTTTGCTGCGGTTGCGGCATCACCGTGAAGCTAGATGTTCGTTAGCGAAAGTTAATCGGGAATGAAGGGGTTCAAACTTACAGAGACAATTGGTGCACCCTTTTCATTGTTGGTGATTTCAATTTCCTTCAAGGGTGCTCCGGCTCCCTTGCTTGCAACACCGAGAGATTTGAAGACTGCCTCCTTTGCACTCCACTTTCCAGCGAAAGACGCTTGAGGGCTTGGCGCTTGCTTGCAGTAAGCAACCTCCTTCTCGGTGAAGTTTCTCTCCAAGAATGTATCATTCTCAATGTTGATGGCAGAAATATCCTCTACATCAACACCAACTTTGTTATTAGCTGTTGCAGCGCCCTTTGCAAGTGACTCAACCATTTGCTTTGTGCTTTCTGTCTTTTCCTTGTTAATAACCTTCTTGGCGAAGTTTGGAGCATATGTAAGAGCGGAAGTCTTCTTATCGACAGATACACGAGCTTCTGGGTTGAGGAAGACAGCTCCTTGTTGATCGTCAGTGTAAGGCGAGTGGTCCTTGGCGACGAACAAGGTATTTGTGATCATTCCGTTGTGGAAGTAACGGTAGGCCTTCTTTTGTCTGGCTTCAACCTTAGTGCAGTATGCCGAGTATGTTTGCTCGTCAAGAGTGGCGAACAGATACTTTGGATGAATACCAATAGCTTGGGCACCCTTTTGACCGAAACCGAAGGAAGTAACAGAGAAAGCCTTGATACCATCGGTTTGAATGCTGCGACTGGGGTAAACAATGTAGTCGAACTTCTCCATAACTTGATCGACATTGTCGGCATTTCTGTTACCAGGAACTAAACCACTGTTGAGAACTTGCAAACAACCGTTGAACATCCAAGCTCCAGCAGCACCCTTTGGATGACCTGTCAAGTACTTTTGGAAGATACCCATGACAGCGTTACCCTTCTTACGACCAAGATGCTCCATTTGTTGACAAATGACTGAAGACTCGTTCTTGTCATTCGCAACAGTTGAGGTACCGTGGAAAGATGCAACATCGAGGTCATCGATGGTAAGACCCCAAGTAGCAAGGGCACCACGAAGAGGTGCGATAGTAGGATCTTTCTTCCAGAAGTTGTTACCGAGACTGTTCAAAACCTCACGCTCTTGACGTAACGCCTCGCGCTCGATATGTTGTGCTCGATCTTGAGCATATTCGGTTTCGTTGAACTCTCCTCCTTGAGCCTTCATGGCAGCAATCTCTTCATGTAGATACTCGAGTTCCGATTCTTGCCATGCCTTGATATTCTTCTTGCGAAGCTCAACTTGTCTGCGGCGGTACTTGATATCCAAGAGAGGCGATGGGAATTTGCCAGGGTTTTCACGAGCGGTTGTAAGAACACCTTGACCTGGAGCAGGAACGGAGCGTCCGATCTTGTCAGTAGCAGTGGTGGTCAATCCAAGGATACCATAGATTGGCACACCCATGTCGAGAGCAAGTCTGGCAGTCATGATGACTTGGATACCACAACCTTGTGACTCCATAAAACCATTTCTGGTGGTGGTGGTAGGACGAGACATCTCTTTAGGAGTACGACCGTGGGCGATTTCATCAACAGCATTACTGGTAGCTTTCATGTTGGCAAACTCGTATGAACCTTCCTCTTGGAAGTCATCGAATCCACCAACAAAACAGACACGAGCCTTTCCTTCAACAATAGTCTCATAACCAATGTCGACGGATTCGACTGATGTGGCGCAAGCACCAACAGGAGTCTTGATTGGACCAGTGGACGACATCAATAACATGTTGACCCAAGCACTCATGGTGTTAATAAAAGATTCTTGGAGAATATCCTTTTGGAGTGGCTTGTCCAAGAAGCGGTCTTTGTACATTCCTCTAAGGGCCGTAGTACCACCAATACCAGATCCAATGCAGTTACCCACTTCGGAGATATGCACATATTGATAGAATTCATATGGATCAGTAATACCAGATGCTAAGAGAGACTCGACAGTGCAGACAAGAACGAACAAGGTAACGGGATCGACTTGTGAGATGATATCATCTGGAATACCATATTTCTTAGCATCCCATCCAGTTGGGATTTGACCTGCGACAAGTCGATCAAAGCGGAGGGCCTTTGGAATGAGCAGTGTAGCACCCTTACGCATGCGGACGAGATACTCTCCAGATTCTGGGATCTCAAAGATCTCAGCCTTGTCGCCATGTTCACGTTTGAATTCTTCTGCAGTTTCCTTGGAGGTCTCGAATGGCTCCAAGTCCTCTTCAATAACAACCTCCTGAAGCAATTGCTTCTTCTCTGGGTTATAGCCATTGAAAAGTTCAGGCTCAATCAAACGGATACCAGAGTGTTCGAGAATGTATTTCTCGTATTTCCCCTTGATATCTTTATCGTCAACTGGATCTCCAGTCTTGGCATCAACCCATCCTGCATATGATTTTCCTTTGAGGTTACCATTGTGGTTCTTGATAAGACCCATGATCCAGGCCATCTCAACACAACCTTCCAAAGAGAACTGACCATACGCCTCCATTTCCCATCTAGTACGAGAGTTACCCCATGGTCCAACTTCAGCGAAACCAGTAACGACAACAACCTTTTCGAGATCAACCATACCCTTAAGGTTTTCGTTGAGTGGAGCAATTTCCTTCTTCCACTCTGGTAATTGTGGGAAGTCGTACTTGATGTTTGCACGTGGTTCAATTGTGACCTTTTTGTAGAGTGCTTCACTGTCCTCACCATTGACAATCTTGTTCTCAATAGCGGTCTCCTTTGTAACAGCTTGTCGGACTTCGCTAGTTTCCATAATATCCTTGCGGAGTTTTGTCATCAAGTCCTTGAGGTTAGGAATGAATTGTAAACCACCGTTCAAATCAGCGAAAACTGGCTCGGATTGGCAGAGATCGACAATGTTAGGGGCCATAAGACCCAACAAGTTGAAAGCCATCTCTTGTTGAGAGAATGTGCGTACACCGTAAGCCTCAACACCTTCTGCAACAATGTTGTTACCAGACATGAGACCAGTACCACGAGTCCATCCAATGACAGCTCCACAAATGGTAAGAAAATTACCCCAGCTCTCCGAGTGCCATCTATTAAAAAGAGTTTCCAACGCCAACTTGGATTCGGAGTAAAGACCATCATTACCGAAAGTTCCATGATTGGGAGAAAGCGGCAAGAC